TATATATATATATATATATATATATATATATATATATATATACAATTTTTTAATTTTATCTGGAATCTATTTATTAGATTTTAAATTAAGGAAGAGAATTAGCTCAATAATAATTAGCTTTAATGGCGTAAAATTTTCCCTACGTATCAATAAATGTATCATAAATTGCGTTTTTAAATCTCGATTCGAAATTTTACTAATTTTCTAACTAGCGCACAAATTTTAATAAAATTCACACTTACCTGTCATTTATGTAATTATTCTTCTTCACTTTCAATGTGCAAGTGCTACAGCATTCGGTCATCTTTTCATAAAGATAAATATTAGTTGTTTAGGAAAAAAGCCATTTTTTTAACTTCTCCATAAACATTAATATTAGTTGAATTTTTTAATGAGAACAAAAAATTTTATTTTGTACTATGTAAAAATTTTTTAATGATAAGCAAATATTCTCTGAATTGTAGGAATAAATGTAAGAATAAAAAATCCATTCAATTATGTTTAAATAACTAAAATATTTTATTATTTACATTAAAATAAAAAATTAAATCTAGATTATGTTAATAAATTTACAATGTTATTTACATACATTTATACAATTATTGGTTTAACAATTTTAAATCTTCGTCATTCAAATAACTAAAAATATTTCTAATAACCAAATCTGGTAAATACATATAAAAAATATTGTACAACTCTGTTGCATTTTTCAGCAGCATTTTTCTCTTATACGCTTTTCTCAATCTTTCAATCATAATGCTACCATACACTTGAAATTCAGTTAATATTTCGTCTTCGTTAAAACAAAAGTCTGAATGTCTTAACCCTACAGCTAATCTATGAAAATTTTTAACTACTACATCGAAATAATTAAAATTAGTTTTGCTTATTTTTCTGGTTTTCAATTCACTTATTTCCTTCTCGCACTTCTCACGGAACGATCTAAAATCCTCACTATTTACAGCTTTTGAATTCTTTTCGCTTACATATAAACCGGCTGCGGATAACTTAATAATGTGATCTTTGATAATTTTTATTATTTCTAAAGACTGATCCTCTGCTCCATGAGTAAAAATCTGGAGATTATTTATTTCTATGGCGACATCAAGCAAACTTGAACTATTGTTGTCAACCACATTAACACTTATCCCACAGTCCAGTAAGTAGCGTAAAATATTTTTACCGCCGCACTCAACAACCTGCTTAGCTATGGTTGCACCGTCCAAATCAATAATGTCCAAAAAATTATCACACTTTTTAATAAAAATCTTAAAAATTTCGACGTTATCTTGCTCCACAGCTTCATTGAACTCCAGAGTGTATTCCCCGTCCTTGATTATCTCGAACTTTGCTCCAAACCTCTCCAGAATTTGAAGAATCTCAATATTGTTCAAGTCTATTGCAGCCAATTGTAGAGAAGAGCGTAGTTTGTTGGGTCCTTGATCGATAATGGCGTTGTGCTTTAATAGCAATTCAACCGCAGGAATATTCTTTATTAAAATTGCGAGATTTAAAGGAGACCAGTTGCAGCACCCAAATGGTAATATGAGTTGGTAAGGTACCAAGTTTACGTCGGCTCCTGACTTCACTAGAAACTCAGTAATTTCATAGGTCCCACTTTTAATGGCTCGGTGAAGTGGTGGCAAATTTTCATGATGGCTTGGCATTATGTTGATGTCAGCTCCGGAAGATACTAATTTTTTCACGACGTCAAGCTTCTTTTCCTTGATGGCCACGTGGAGCGCCGTCCCCAAAAAGATAGTGCTGATGTTTAACTCAACACAATTTTCCAATAAAAAGTCAATGAGTTCGTCGCTTGAGTTCAAGATTGCGAACTGAAGGACACTTATTTGTTGGTACTTATCCCAAGAAAATATTGAGTTAACATTTAACTCTCCGGATTTCACAAACTTCACAAACTGCTGGATCTCATTTAAATCACAAGTGTTCACTGCCATTTTTGTACTTGAGTAATTGATAATATTCAATTGTACTTTACGAAAGATTAGTCTTGAATTTGAAGATGTTTGCACTACGAATTCTGTCGTAAGAATGATCTGAGTGCTTGAAGTAATTCAGAAGGTAACCAATTTCTGCTCTCTTCTTTGAAAAATAGGGAGTGAGGGTCTGACCCCTTCTTTCCGTCTACCAGCGCTTGTCATTGGTTCTTCTACTTTTGTAGGGTCGGAGAAAATAGAAGTGGAAAGTGTATAGTCTGAGAGATCCTTAGCCAGGTCATATTTAGCTAAATGTGTTAGATCATTAAATAAGAGAAAGAGAGCAATTTGTGAAGTCATGGTTCCGAGTCACTGACTAGGTGCCCTAATCTTTTAATTACTTCTAGAAAAAGGTAGATTATTGAGGATATTTTATGGAAAATATCTTATCCAGACAAACATAAATGATTCTTAATCTTAGAGTTACATTGTATTATATGTCACGTCAGTTGCCAAAATATTTTACAGTAATGCCATAAAATTTAGACTTTAACTAATATTATTCATTTAAGTATTATCCATTTAGGTAATAACCTAATATAATTTATGGTAATGTGTCATAAAGATTTTCTCAAGAAACATTTCAACATAATAATGTTATATGCTTTGTTAGAGTAGGAAAGGATAAAAATTCTTTCTACCAAATCAATAGCTTAAATGGAAGTTATTTAGCTTAATGATAATTAATTTCAACGAGCTAACGTTTTCCGTTAAATTTTCCGCGTTGGTAGACGCATTTTATTTAATAAAAATTTGTTTGATCTTCACATCAGGATTAAATATATTGGGTATTTTATGCCAAATCGACCACTTTCAATCCCGACCCTTTCCGGTTTTCTGAAATTTTGTATCTTTCTCTACCCTATTAAAAATAATTTCTTCAAATTTTTTTACCTAACTAAAAAAAAGTTACGAGTTATTTAAAAAAAATATCTTTTTTTTTGTTAAATAACCATAACTTTTTTGAAAATTAACTTGTTGGGATGTTTTTTCTTGA